TGGTTTCTTGAATTAATACAATCTGAAAACTTATTTGTGTAACTCATACATCACACAAATGCCCCATAATCTTCTAATCTTGTTGGTATCACCAAGGTTACAGAGATCCTGTTTCAACCAATCATTATTAGAAGATAGTAGCCATCATACAGATAGAATTTTTGAAATTTATTGTTAGTAGATTTCAAACCTCCTATCTAGTCAACATATTACTTGAAGGTGTGATAACTTAACCACTTCACTAAATCACCACACCTTTAATTACCTTAATATTAAATATATACTATATATATATATATATAATAAGTTAATAAAATTAAACAAACTTTTTAAATAATTTTTTTAAAACTTTAAATAACAATAACTTATTAAAAACTTAATAAAAATTTTTTTAAATAAATTTTACAAACTTATAAAATCTATTTAAAAAAAATTTTATTAAATTTGATCAAGTTTTGGTTAATTATTGATATATAAAATTTTAATAAAATTTTAATAAAACAATTTGCTTGATTTTTATTAATTCACACCATATATAGATATTTTTGTTTATTATATTTAATCAACTATTAATATACAGTAATTATAATTTTTATCAGATTTTAAGATTAAAGTAAACAGGATTTAGTGATTAGAATTATTAGATTTGAAATAGTTGTTTTAAAATTGCATTTTTTTGTATTCTTGCAGATCATGTAAAAAACCCGTAATATGATGTAAAATATAAACCCGTAATGATTCTGTAATATTTTTGAAAATCGATCACGTAATATAGAGGTTTATTTAATAGGTTGGTATTTAATAAATCAGCAAACTGGTGTTAAAAATTCTTTATATAATAACTAAATTTTATCTTTTTAAAAAAAATTTATGCGGGCTAGGCGACCTAAATTTAAATTAATTAAAGCGAGCCAGGTCGGGCCAGCAAAAAATTTTTAAATTTAAAAACGGGCTGTGCTGGGCCACCAAAATTGATAATTTGCAGGTCTCTACTCTAATGATGAGAAAGTTATGCTTCAATTTGAACATGCCTTAAAATTTTACCAAACTATGCATATCATAATCTAATTAAAATATAGATGGCTATATAAATAAAATATTTAAAACATATTCCAGATTATATAATAAACAAAACTAATACAACAAAATACTATCTATTTTTATATTATTAATATATAGATATATTTGAATATTTAAGTATTAATTATAAATACATAATATTTTGTTGCATTATTTTGACATTTATTGTTAAGTGATTTACATTTTAAATGTGGCACATATTGACAAGTATGAAACTAGTGTAATTTAAAGACCCACGATAGCAGGATTCTCAAATCCATCATCAACATATTTGCACGCCAAATCCCAATAATGCTCACTCTTATGCTTTCTTAAGTAATCGCGGGCCATTTTCTCCGTTGGACATGTCTTAAACCAAAATCCTTTAAACCCGTGATCTTTTACTTCTCCTTCCCAAATCAGGGAGCATTTATTTTCCTTAGGAGGTTCCATAGATTCGTCAACAGGTTGTTCACTGGTGCCTTCTCCTATTCGTGTAGTATCAGACCAGTCAATACGTCGCAACATCAATTTCTTATAATATTTAATAGCTTTAGGTCCCCCTTCAACAATCACTACAGTAAAATTAGGATTGATTATGACTGTGCCTGAAAGCCCAAGCTGTTGAGCATTCATGTCAACTTTAAACTTCATCTTAGGATGTGAAAGATCATTTATTCTAGAAAAATAAGTTTGTAAATAAAAACTGTAATCACGACTTACATAATTAATAAATCGTGAAAGGCTTTATACATACTTAAAAACACAGACTATTGTAGCAGTCTTCTTATCTTCTTCCATCTTCTTTTGTTTTTTCTCTTTTTTCTGCTCATCAGTCAGTTTGCGCTCTTCATTTGCTTTCTGATGAGTTTCTTGTCGCTTTTGCATTTCTTTACGGAC